GATGGCGTATTCGAGTGTTGCGATCGCGTTTCAAAATAAAAATATTTCTATTTTGTCAAAAAATAGATTTATTATAAAAATAAAAAGATTTAGAAAACGAGATGTTTCTTTTTTTTATCACATCACGTAATGCAATAGTGCATCTTAAAATGTTCTTGAATTAAAGCAAGAGATAAAAAAAAAAAAAAAAATAGATGAATATTCTAAGAGCAACATAAATGCGAATTAAATATTTTAATTAAAGAAATTGAATTGGTCTAAAATAATTTCAAATAAAGCGTACAGTTCAGAATAAGATTTAAGAATCAGTTTGAATTCAGTTCAGTATATTTTTAACTTTATGACGTTAATATTTAGTGAATTATCAGATTAACGAGATTTTATTAATGTTAAATCTTAAAACGATTTCCTTAAGCCCCTGATAATTTCTTTTTTTTTTTTTTTTTTGGTACAAAAACTTAGAAATAAAGTTTAATAACAGTAAGTAGTTTGAAAAACACATTTTCGAATTTCGGGTTATGTAATAATATTTTAACAAAATTTTTTAACAAAAAGTAAAAAGTGCCCCCCTCCCCAATAAAAAAAAATTTAAAATAACATGGACGATGAAATCGGTATAAATGAGGCACGTCGATGGTTTAACGACTTGTGTTTTTCGAATCGATTCGAAAAACACAAGTCGTTATAGCACCGGATTGAAAATATCGGAATTTTCGAAATCCCGTGGAAAAGCGTAGCAATGAGTGTTGAAATTTTTTTTTACATTTGCGATGAAATAGATACAAAAAAGCGCACGTTTCGAGTGCCGTATTAATACACATTAAATATATTGAGATTTTCAAATCCATGTGGAAATGCGTAGTGCCGAAAAAAATAACTTGGATTTACTATAAAATTGACCCAAATAAATCATGTTAAAAGTTATTACCATTTTAATGATTCATAATTCGATAAAGTATCGCATTAAAGAGTTCCGTATTTTTAAAAAAACACGTGTAAATTTCAACAATGGTGCAAAGTTACTTGGACTAACTATGAAATTAATGCAAATAGAGTTTCAAAAGTGGTTACTAAAATTCGAAACTAACGCATCACAGTTTTGTCGTATTAGAAATATAAGGATTTTTAAAACTTTGAAAATTCGTGGCGGTGGTAACCATCGAAAAACTACATCGATTTAGATTTGGCGCGTCAAAAATTTAAATGTACAATTCATAATTTAAAATTTTCTTTTATTTTCCAAAGAAATTATAATATAGTTTATAATTATTATATTCAAGTTCTGCTGCAGGTCGCACATCAAAAGTTGACGGGTTGCAAGTTTTGCACCCATATACGTATAGGGTACTATTTCTGGATCGCGCATCCCACGCACTGTGGGGGTGTTATTTACGCTACTGTACGAGTGCGTGATCACCATGATCAGTCTGAAAAAAGGAGGGTGTGCAATACCGGCCCTCATGACACGGCCTGTTCTACCATGAAGTGCTTAAGTTCACGCACAGATTGTTGGGCTAGTGAAGCAATGAGGCTACCCCCACTGCAGGGGATCAAAATTGTGATGGATCGTCTTCAGTTATGTTTCCCAGACCGTTGCCAATAGCCTGATGTGCAGTTCCAGTGCGCCATAAACTAACAATTTAAAATGTCAATCATATTTTTTAAATATTTCATAATGCTTATTTTAAAAATAATATACAATGTAATTCTAAGGTAGTTATAATTTATTTACGTCGCACTAGAACTGCAGTCTGCAAGAAGGGCTATTTTATTTTATAACCATTATTGAACAGTCGAACCAAATTTTGAGTTTATGACTATCAATGGTCAACTCCGAAGCCTAGTAATTCCAGAATCCCAATCCAGAAGACAAGGGAACTCCTGGATCAGTACTTCCAGAGGTATTGATTTGTTATGGAAACTTGGAGGACTTGTGATCCCGACAAATTTAATGTGCACCAGTCACCAATTAAAACATGGGGATTCTTTGGCCGGCTGAAATAGAGTTCCCCTTCTCACGAACTCGAGTCTAACGCCCTATCCACCCAGCTGGTGGCACAGAGCAGAACGCTGCATATGGTATATACCTATGGCAACACAACATGCTTTCACCATAATAGTATAGATAGTCATAGAATATAGTATACTATATGGAATGCAGAACTGAGTTCTTAAAGAATGAGTCTTGGACATTTTAGAAGATATTTTAACAATTAAATGCGAAAAATGTTATGACAGGGGAAATTTTTGCAGAACATTCCCATGCAACTGACCAAAAGAGGAGAGGGAAGGGTTAAGACATAGAACTGGTTTTCTCTTCAGGTATCATACTCGAGTGTTGCAATCGCGAATAGTTTCTGAACTGAAAAAAGTTAATATGCTTGAATCAATTCATGTAGTTCCAATCACCGTCAAAAAAATACGAGAACACTATTGGTGAAAAAAATTTTTCCGCAAAAAACTCACCTTCATAATTTTTTGCAAAGTTGAAATCAGAGCTATTTATTATATAAAATCGAGCGATAATTTGTAAAAAACTACCCATATATTTTCAGAAATGTTTCCAAAAAAGCTTGCTTATTCCAAAAAAGGCTAAGTTCTATAGCATTTCAATAATATAAGAAAGGATATATACTCAGCAATTTTTTCATTTTAAATTTTTGTTATGCACAAATTATTTAAAGTTTGTCTTTTCTGCAAAAGAGATCTATTTGTTAAAACTACTAATTGTGTTTCATGATCATAGAATTTTTTAAAAAAGCTTGTTTATTATGAAACATGCTAAGAGGTGAGTATATTTATACCGCTAATATAAAGTAGAATACTTTGCGAAATTTCCTAATTTTTTATAATGCTGATGTCCTTTCTAACTAATTGAAAGCTTGAATTTTAACAAGAATATAGTAATTTAAAATGGCAATGTTTTTTTATAGTTAACAACAATAAAAATTAAACTGCTGAATTATACTTATTAATTATATTTATATTAACTGTTAAGCTTATAAATAGTAAAAAAATTGCTACAAAAAATCCTTAGTGTTAAAATACTTTTATTATCCTTTAAAATGATAAGGTACACACATTTAACTAAATCATAGTCTTTCTGGTATATAATAAATGTTCTACACAAAATAATTAATAGATTAATTGTAAAGATAACAAACAATGCAACTACCTACAATATTAAAAGCATACTGTTAGAACAGTTTAAGTAGACAAAGCCATTAATGAGTTTATACAGAGAACAGGTTGAATTTTAATTCATAAAAATTCAAAATTCCTATTTGTCTATATTATAGTAACACAAGAGTCAATGGTACTGTTTCTAAAAAAAAAATATATTACTTTTCAGGTTAAGCTTGTTTCTAGGTATTTCAAGAATTATATATTTTTAACAAGTGTGCCATGAATCAAAGTAAATGTCACCAAATGTTTTAGTATAACATAAAAAATATAAGCTGTTCCGCTATTTTCCATTTCAAAACTTGCGGATCCTTAAAACTGATTCTTACTCCTAGAAAATTAGTAGTTTTGAAAATCCCTGAACGTAAAAGTAAGTACACACAACAAAATTAAAATCTTTTTTCCTAAGAAGAATTGCTATGCATGTCTAATTACCTAAGTACATCAATGTTTAGCTTTTTGCCTTTTTAAAGAAAGAAAAAAAAAGCTTGATGTAGTTAGTCATAATTTAATATCTGCATGTTGAGCAATGCCACAAATTGAATCAGATTACTCATCAAGCAGCTAAATGGCAAAATATTGACGAAGATTAAGTCCTATCTCTAATAAGTGCATACAATTACCATTATTACTAAATATACGTAAAGAAAAAAACAATAAAAAAGTTTAGATTACTTTCTGACAATTATTCAGTATGCAAGCAAAATATAAATTTTAAGATCTGTAGGATTTCCCATTTTAAATGGTATTATTTTTGTTAACAAATTCAATAATGAAAGTTTATTAGTTGAGTAACGTATTATTAGTTTAGTAAAGTTTATTCGTAGTGAAAAAAAATATTAAAACTGTTTTGGAAACAACCAATACCAATTTACTGTTTTACAAACATTTTCTTTCCTTAATTCCTAATGTTTTCAATTTTTGCTGAAGTTAGATTATCATTTATTTAACTGAAAATTGAACCACACTGGCTAACAAAATTTTTGCATTTAAAAAGAGCCCAAAAAATCAAAGATGTGAAATCAGAAATAAAATAAAAATAACAATTGATCTAATAGCAACATATTTACAGATTTTCAGACAAAAACAAATCTTTGCACATCGTAAAAAAAAAAAAAAAAAAAATTATAATAATTTTAATGCATAGTGCAATAAATGAGGTAGAAGAAAATCATTATGACAAATAACTCATAACAAAGTGAAACAAATTTTAAACCAAATGAAAGCACATTCATATTTAAGTATTATAAATAAAATAATCAATGCTTAATGAATTACTAAAGAAAAATTAAGTTCCTTTAAAAAAATAATAGAACAATAACAAAATTAACAGATGAGATACATGAAGTCATTAAATTAAATTTGTCGCAATAACTCTTGCTTACCAAAATAAAATCTTTCAATGTAACAAATTAACACATTTTGACACCTGAAATTTCATTGCGAAGTGTCTCAAAGACAACTAATTGCTTTTTAATACTCATTGGTAAGTTTCTTAAACTCACACATTTTCAAGGTCTTGAAGAAAACAGTTCCATTTTAAGGCTTTGTAAAATGAAAATAACTCAAAAATATTTAAACAACTAAAAATAAAAATTAATAATCAATGGTGAATATGAAAACTCAGCAAATAATTTTTCAAAATATATATACATAATTATAAATATACGAAAAGAAACAGCTGTTAAAAAATCATTCCATTTTACGCCTTTTACTTTTCTTTTCTGTGTTAGGAGCAGTTAATATAGTTTCATTTTCAAGTATCTCTTCTGATGGATTGGAAGAATTGCTTGATAATAAAACATCAAAATCTTGGGGCCCACAAAATTTGCTCACAGGAAAATCTGAATTATAGGATTCTTGTCCAAGTAATTCTAACATCTGTTGTTCATTTAGCCCAACATCATCATCTGGAGTGACAGAACTAAATTGGACAAGTTCATTGCCTATAGAATGAAAAAAAGAGTAATTAATAGAACAATTATAAAATTTTGAATAACTGAAGAATTCAAATAACAGAGTAGTAAGCTAAAGAAAGAGTGTGTTTTTCAAATTACATAATTTGCAAATTTGACATAAAAATGATACCTGTGATCAGGCCATATGTTATCTTACAAAAACGGTTATTAAAAATAGTGCAATTTTGAGTTAAGTAACTATTTAGGAGTTTTACGAGATCTTTAACTTCAAATTCTGAATAATGAAATTCTGAAGGCATGATAATGCACTTTCAACAGTCAATTGGTGACAGGGACTTAGCACAAAAAAAAAGGTATTATTACCAGATATAGGATGGACCCATTCATACATCCATTTATTCATCCACAGACTATAATTTTGACCAGAACCAGAGCACGATCAATCTCTAATTCAGTACCCCCAGAGATTTTGATTTTTTATGGAAACATGGTAGACTTTGTGATCGGACAAATTTAATGTGCACCAGCCACCATTCACTACAAGGGGGAGACTTTGGTCGGCGGGGATCGAATCTCTTGGACATGGGCCTAACGTCCTACCAACCAGGTATCCTTCCCCCCTCCAAAAAAGCTTGACTTGAAAAAATTACATGTCTGAAAAAAAAAGCACATCATATAGTAATATTTTCAAATTACATACCTGAAATATCATCAGAGGAACTAGTTATGGCCATATCTTTTTCATTCTATATTTTAAAAAAATATGATTTTAATACATTTGAAGCATTTTAGCTGTAATTCATTTTCATTCACATAAACAACAAAAACTAATAACAAAAAAATTGTTAAAGCATTTTTGAAACAGTACAGTTGGTCACATATTTTAAAGTAAGATATTTTATATAACACCTATTAATAGGTAAAAACATTCTTCGAAATATTGATATGAATACCAGGCCTAGAAGTGACTCAGAGCAAAAATATAATAGGAAATATAGGAATTCATTTAAGAAATTATAGGAATTTTATAGGAATGTTTTGAAAATAATATAAGAATCCCTAATATTTTGTTTAAAAAATATAGATTCAAAATTTGCATAGAACATGTACAACTTTTATTTATGTGTTATTCAAAACTAATGTTATGAAAAAACATTTCTACAAAACCCTATCTTGGCTTTAAAACTAAATGTTTTATTAGATAATCTAACTGGAGAAAAAAAGAACACTGATTGTAGACAAATTTTAGCTTTCTTGTCCAGGAGTAGGTTGGAATATATTTCTTAATATATTTGAATAAACCGTAGACTTATATCAGAATATAATGTTATGCATTTATAAAAGAATAATTAATAAAGTAATTATATTTTTAAAATTTTTTGAGGACCAGCAAAAGGTTTCAAATAGAAAATCTGAATAAAAACAATTAAGTTTATTAATACACAGCATTAGAGTTAAGAAAAAAAGTTTATTAGTAATTATGTTGGTAACACTAATTAATATTATATGAAAATTTAACTCCCCATCTTTGCAACACATGAACATAATCGAAACAATATATACAATCGAAAATAATAAGTGCAACTGGAATTAAAATTTAGAACAAAGTTATACAAATACGAATATAATACACTAGAATATACTAAGAGTGAACAACTCAGTTAGAATCAATACATATACGTAGAATTATTATTTTTTATTAGTTTCAGCAAGCTTTTCAGTTAATATTTTAACCTGATTAGTTGCGGATTCTATGATTGCAGAAGCAATTCTCATTTCATTAAAGTCTTTAGTTTTTAATGCTTTTTGTAGGCGGGCATTACTCTCCTGCAGTAAATTCTGGGAAAGGCTTAATTCATCTTTTAAGGATTTCACATGATTTTCTAAATCACGCAACTTTTCTTTTGCATCTTTCTTTTGTTTTTTCCGCAATTGTTCCGATTCTGATAGAGATCGTTTTTCTGCGTCTATCTTAGCTTGGGAAGCTTCTTTTTCTTTATCTTCTTTATATGCTGAATGTGCTTTAGTTACAGAGTTCAATAATGAGAAAGTTATAGGAATATTTAAAATGTTATTATCATGCCTCCGAACTGCAATATGTTAAGATTGCCTATTAAAAAATTAAACACAAATAAAGCTGCATAAATAGAAAGAAAAAGATAAATTATGAAGGCAAAACTCCAAAATTAAGAAAAGAAAAAATAAACTTCAAATTTTTCTTTTAACTCAGAAAAACTCAACAGAACAAAGGGTTACTTAAAATTATTAAGAATGAAATACAGTAGAGAACCCGGCATGTTCGGGACCATCGCTATCCCAGATGTCTGAATTTGCCTGTTTTCGGGATATGCTAAAAAACATTATAGATCGATGTTTCAGCGAACCCAAATTACAATGAAAAATACTAACATAGTTTAAAATATGAAAAATAAATAAGGAAAGTTCTCCTTAGTTAAACAAATCGGAAGAAAACAAGATTTAAATCAATAAAAACATTTACAAATTAAGATAAGAAAAAAAAATTAAAAAAACTCACACATTAAAAAAAAAACAAAAACTAAATCATATTTAAAAATAAAAGAAAATAGAAAAGAATCGTATCAACTGCGAGAGTTTTTAAAAATAAAAGAAAATACATAAATTATGATAGTAAAACTGCCAAATTAAGAAAATAAAAAACTTATGTTCACTAATATACACGTGCAATACCCCTCCTCCTCGTAAATCAGAGAGAAAGCGAAATCAGAAAGCCGCTCCTTTATGTTTGATTGACGGCAGCTTATCAGAAAAGCACCGTTTCTTTCCATCCCTGAAGAACTTCAAGGTTACAGAAGAAATATATTGAAGTTTTCTCTTTCAAAAACACCCCCCCCCACACACACACACACAAGTTTTTTCTTTCACTGAACTTGAATTTCATTTTATTTTGAAACTTCAAAAATCAGAATTTCCGCACATCGATATAATTCAAAACGGCGGGAAAATTAAGCAAAATTTATCCCGATGTTCTAGATACCAAATAAGTGGTCCTGTACTGTACTTGTATAAGCATATCAGATATTTTTAAGTCAGACACCCTATTTTTTTAAAATTATGTTAAACAATATTTTTAAGAAGAAAAATTATCTACATTTCAGAACAGAATTTTTAATGCAAGCTTCAGTTTCACATTGATTTTAAATAAAAAAATAAAAAAAGATTTATGAAAATGAAATAATATTAATTTTCAAATTTATTTATTTTCACCTACGTAGGCTGCAAATTGTTTAATTTTAACTCCCAAACATTTTATTGCACCTGTGTGGACTTTAAAATTAGACTACAGAATAACTATCATAAATGCTTTAAAATGAATTGCATTTTTTTTTCTACCTGTTTGGATATTAATCAAGTAATTGAATTTTTAAATTGCATAAAAATGAATAGCGATTTGAAGACCGAATTATATATAATACGAGTATAGCTCGCAAATTATTTCGCAAATCATGATTTTTAAGTAAGTTACCTACATAGGAATCGCGATTCATAGTCCAAAATCATTAAGTGTGACATTCGTAAATCATGTTCTTGAAAACCAAATCTCTTAAATGCTAACGATTTCGGATTCGTAATTCATGTAATGATTGTTCGTCGCGTGATATGTTTCGAAATTAAACTCGAGAAAGAGAAAAAATCACTTAATTACATTAAAATAATAAAAAAAACTTTTAAAAGGAAAACGAAAATCACTTTATTGAATCCGCATGACTACACTAAAATATATTGCTCCGTTCTGGGTTCCTTCTTTTCACACCCTTTCTATTCTATATCTTATTCCACAAACCTCACATATATTTCTTTCACTTGCTGACGATTCCCTTTTACTTGTACTTGGTGCAGCTGGGTTAAGACATTGCAAACGGATGATTGGTTAAAGAATTTTTAGGTGTGGTTTGATGATTGACATCAGACTAGCGCAAATCGGGAGCGCGGACGTTGAGAAAGGATTATAAGGGAAAATTAAGGAAAATAATACAGAAAATATAGGAAAAAATAGGAAATATAGGAAATATAGCAATTTTTCTAGATTAATAGGAAATATAGGAAATATAGGAGCGCTGCAAGGCCTGGAATACACAAACAAATGATAGCATATTTTTGAGTGACATAATAATAAATGAACTGATACACAGATAATTTGCATTCAAATAAATCTTTTGAGACAAATTTTAAACACAATTTTGGCTTAAACGGGTTAATTAAACAAAATTTTGCCACGCAAGTTTCTTTTAAATTCAATATGAAATTATACTTTCAGAATAAGCATATACTCTTGAAATTTCAAATGTAGAAGTGACTGTTACATAAGATTCTGTATTATGTTGATGTAAGCGAAAAAGTACAAAATATGCACAAAAATCTTTATAAGACATAACAGAATTAGCTAGATTTAAGGTACAATAAAGTTCCCCAGAGAAAAATTCTAAGAATAACATTTTTAAGGAGTTAAAATCAATACATGTGAAAATATTTTATATTTACAATTAGAAAAAATCTAAATTAGTTAACATTTATAAACTGATTATGAGATAAGAAACAAATATTTTAATTTACTTACATATAATGGTATATAAGTATCATCTAAACGCAATAGTTGCTAAAAAATAAAACAAGTATTAATGTGTAAAAATATTTGAATAATCACAAATTTATAACATGAAGTTTAATAACAAAAAACAAAATAGAACATTATGTGTTAAAATAGAACATTATGTGGACAACACACCGAGTGTGCAAACAATGCAAATTTAATTTTACTTAATTAAAACTGCTGACAAAATAATTACAACTTTAATGATAAATACCACACAGCGCATAAGTAGGATGGTGAACGTCAAAGGTAATTCATAAATTAAACATAATGATGAATGAAAGATGATAACAACAGAAAATAGAAACAAACAATTAGCAAAATAGCACTAAGCAAAATTATTAGCATAGAAGTACGAGTGAATTCTTATTTACACTAGCATGATTTCCATAATGTTGATGCCAACACAGTTTAATGAAAAGTTATGATTATCTCTGGTTCAAAAATATATATGTATTCTGATCTGACGCAAAAAAAAGAAAGAAAAAAAGATATATGTAGTATGATATTGTATTTGATAACCTTACTCCCTAGAGTGTAACAGCTTTTGTAACCCAAAAACCCACCGATATAAAAAAACAAAAAAAACTTAAAAGTAGATTACATCGCAAGATAAATAATAAATAATGTTATACAAAAGAACAAAAAAAACTTAAAAGTAGATTACATCGCAAGATAAATAATAAATAATGTTATACAAAAAAAAAAACAAAAAAAAATAAGAAGAAAAAGACTTAGTTTGAAAAAAACTATATTCAAACAAGAAATAATTTACAATGGAATAACTAAAGGAGACCATAATTTCTACCTATTCCTTTTCAAAATATCCTGCTTAAATGATATGATTCCCCAGTCAAGTTTATTGAAACAATCTTAAAATATTTTAAAAACTGAAAAATATTGGATAATCTAGAAACATTTCTGTTTAGTTGCAATTTACCAGAACACTTTTCTGACAGATAATAAATATTTTTAAGACAGCAAAAATAAATTCCTTTTATTTCCAAATATGCATACCAAAAATATTAAACTAATATAATTGTAAAGAGTTTACCTCTAAAAGTTCAAAGCCAGGAGTGGAGTTCATATTATCTTGTAAAATACTGAATTCTGGGTAACTGCAATAAATATTTTAAAAGAAATAGAATTAGAAAACAATAATTTTCTACATATTATATAAAATTATATTTAAAAAATTACTATTAATAATAATGATAATTAGTGTACCTCTTTGATTTAACTAAGCTTGAAGATTCAGGAATAGCTAACTGATAATTTGAACTTTTAGAAGAATGTGGTAGAGATAAGGAATCTACATCCATTGAAATATCATTCATCGTTGAACTATCATTTAGATCTTCTTCTAAACTAGATATTTTAGATGCTTGTAGTAAATCTGATAAAACTGAATCATCAAAGTCACTGTTTAAAATTGATGAAGTTTCAGGCACTTGCATGGAAGACATTTTATTGGGAATATTAACACTAGGAATTTTTCTACTGGTCATTTGAGGTGATTTCAGTTTTGAGCTAGAAGACTTTGCATTTAAAGTTTCTTCATCATCTAAAACCGTTTCTTTTGCTGGTAGAGCAATAACATTGCAGAAGGCATCTGGTTTGAAATTAGATATTTCTTGGCTGGTAAAATTTTCAACTGGGACTAAACATAACTTATTCGGATCACCTGCAACAGGAAGAGCAACATATCTAACTGGTGAAGCAACAGGTGGAGATTCTTTTGACGTAGAAGCTGTCAATCTGCAGAAAAAAAGGATAATTAAAACAAATATGTATATATATTACAGTTGGAATGTAATGAACACACATAAAATTCATAATCAGATATCTAAACTTTAAGTTCCTGAAAACAAATTTCATTTATTTTTTACGTTTATACTTTGATTCTTGCAAATCCTATAACGAAAGTTTCCATCTAAATATAAGATTTTAATAGTCACTGAAAATTTCAACATCAGGATCTTTGCACAACATTGCTTACACTGCATTGTGTGCACATTGAAAATAAAATATAAATAGCAATAATAATTTCAAAATTTATAATGTTATTAGCATGGCTTGCTCTAATCATCAAAGTTATTCATTTGTAAATACAGTCAGACCTCGGTATAAGGTCATCCGCATATAAGGTCACTTTTCCAAAGTCCCGGCACACTGAATAGGAATTCTTTGTTACAGATTATCGGATATATGGTCAAGTTTTAAAAATCGTTATCGCTTATAAGGTCATTTTTATCTGAGGCGAGGGAAGCTCTTTTCTAACAAAAGCCTATTTAACTTCCTTACAAGGCAATTACCCCTCTCGAGTTTTAAGAAAATGTTGCAGCCAGCGAACAAACTGCAATTTCTGAAATTGTTTCACAAGTTGTAGACAGTGAGGACATTGACAGTGATCCTGAGACTGTAGCTGTAACCCAAGTGGAAGCCTTCAATGTCATACGAATTTTTTTTACAAACCATGAGGGAGCTGAGTAATATTTTGAGAAGTTACAAAATCTAGAAATCATTGTTAGAAAAATGAAATCAGAAACGAGACAGACCTGCATAAATGATTATTTTAAATAAGATAAGATGTAATGTGTGTATGTACACTTTGAGGAAATATGTAAACAACTTTATTTTAAAAATCTATCTTTCTTTAATTCTTTACTAATTCTGTTAAAATTTATTGACTTAAATATTTAATTTATGGCTAATCGTTTTCGTTTGTATAACTATTTTTAAAAAATCATAATGTGTACTATTTATGTGCTTAGTTACGAACTGCTAATGAATCGATTAAAAGGTCACCCCTCTTATAAGGTCACTTTTGCGATGTCCCTTAGGGTGACCTTATATCGAGGTCTCACTGTATTTATTCAGCCATTACTACCTAGCATTGTTATAACTGTGCTCTAAAATGTACAACTCTTAGTTGTTCTTATAAGTAGTTATAAATTTTTTTAAACTAATATTTTAAAATTTTTTTGTCATAACTTTAGCTAGAGTATTTATTAAGTGCCTTTGCTAAGCACTGATTATTTCATGCATATTCAAACAATCTTATGTTATAAAACATCAGGATTATTTTTAGAATATGTATATCATAAACTTTCAAGCATTGTAAATTAGCCATCAAAAAAGTAAAGCCATGAACAGGCACCTGAAGAATCCCACTGACACAAGCTAAGTAACCAAATTGCCAATAAAAAAATTTAAAAAGAAATAGGAAAACACATTTTGTACATAGAATGCTCCCATAATCTAGATGATCTTTCAGCACCATGGTAGTTACTTTCCTTTTATTCTAGTATAATGTATAAAATCAGGGTAAGGTAAAAAATAGAAAATTTGACAGCTAAACAATATATCCAAGGTTTACTTAAGACATGATTTACAAACTTATACAGTTTAAAAATTATTTTTAAAAAAAATTATGTCACACATCTGATGCCTTATATTAGCCCTATTTGTTGAGGAACTGTTTTAGTTTCAAAAAATCAGTTTTAAGTCTGTTAATTATATATTTTAACTGCACACACACACACACAAAAAGGATAACAGTATCAACTCAAATAATATAGATAAATTATATTTAAATATTATTTATCTATATTATTTAAAAAATTAAGATTTCTGTCTTATATACCCCCTCGATTTCGGATTTACACTACTAAATAGAACATAAGTGTATGACTTTAAATAAAAAAAATAATATATAAAAAAGAAAAAAAAACCTGTCATGAAGATTTTCAAGTATATTTAAAGGTTCAATAGATGATGAAGACGCATTAGTGGATGATGAGCTTAATGATAAAGTACTGCCTTCAGCATTCTTTACTAATGGCTTAAGTATAGATGTGTTAAATTTATTTGTAGACACTGATGGCGGACTACTGGCAACATCAGATTCAAAATCTGTCACTTCATGTATAACAGCTCCTGCAGGACTAGAAGAATTTTCATCAGGAACCTTAATAAATAAAATTAATGTGTAAGTGTAATATTTGATGGAAAAAAAAAATTTTCAGCGATAGTAGAATAATTAATATATTTTTTACACAATAAATTTTACTAAAAGATTCGTCAATAATGCCCGATTCAAAACTTGCAAATAGTTCTATCTATAATAAAGATATCAGAATTCTATTCACTTGATTTACACAGAGTAAAAAAAAAAAATAAGAAAAAAAAACAAATATATCACAGTGATTTAAATCTTTTGCTGTAATCTGAATTTGTAACAAAATTCACACTCATAGATGGTGCCACAATGTCTTATGTTGGCCAAAATTTAGATTTAACACATCCAAATTAAAGTATAAGTAAAATGCAAGAAGAAGGATATTTTAAATAACATTATATTACCAATTTCACGTATTTGTCTTTGTTATGGCAATTAATTCTTTCAGATGACAGTCATTTCTTAATTTTTCTTTGGGTCTCACGTTTTCTTTACAAATATACATAAAAAAAGTATGATTAACAAGAATTCCGGTAGGAAAAAAAACAGGCTTGCTGATAAAGAAACTACAAAACATTTTCTCATTAAAGGAATTGTGTGAAATATTGTAAAAGATTTCCGAAACTCTGTGAAAATTTTGTCAGAGTATAAAGTTTTCATTAACGGAAATCGGTAAGTCAATGGAAAATGACATGCCTAAACTAATTTAGTAAGCTATTTAATGCCAAAAAAGAATAACAGAAGTAGTCAAATACAAAAAATAACAAGTTACAAAAATATAAATATTTAATTTTAAATCTTTTTATTACTAAATAAAGAGTAATATTTTAAATGACTTACAAAAATACAATCAGAATCATTATTTCTCAAAACATCAACGATTCTAGCTATATGGGAAGAATTCTCCTGAGAAACCGAGCTATCTTGCAACATGCGAGCCAATTTTCTAGGAACATGAATATTCTGGTTACTCCTTTGAATAATTTGCACAAGAAACTGAATTACCTAAAACAAAACGATTTGCAAACACTCAATAAAGTACTTATATATTCATGCTTTTTAAAATAGCAACTAGATATCTAAGTTTTAACTTTACTTTGTGAAGAACTTGTTCTTGCTTTTTATGTCTTTGCTGCACAGTTGATAGTTCACGCCACAAAAGTTCATTTTCCTGTTTCATTTTTGACAGTGTCATATCCATATTCTTCTGTTTTTCTCTTAGAATGGACAAATTAGTTAAAACATCATTAGAGCTAAAACTCACTTCTGGCTCTACAGAGACCCCTTGGGATCCTCCTCTGGTATCCCTAGAAGGAGGTATCTAAACAAAACAGATATTTATATTTATATATAATAAAAACAAATATGGTATTAAGAAAATAAATTGATAGTTCCCTTGCAAATGAATTTGTTGCTTTTTGACATCTAAAATTGGCTTTTAACATGACAACTTTATAAAATAAATTAAAACTCTCTAAACCTAAGATGAGTTGAAAATAGAGTAAAAAATTTTAATTAAAAAAAATATTGCAAAATTTTACAAAAAAAAAAAAAAAAAAAAAAAAAAAAAAAAAAATAGTAATTTTTTTTTTTTTTTAATTTAAAATTGTTTTTTAAAATGCATAATCGACACAATTTCTACCAGCTTTACTTCTACTACAACTATGATACTTAACATTTTAAAATTACAAATTATTCCTTAAAATGTAGAATTAACACAATTTCTACTAAATTTCTGAAAATTATTTAGTTTCATATTATGTTTAACAATTTCATAAATAGAATAAAAGGAATTATCACATTTGTCAAAATCTTACAAAATACATACAAGATCTACTATTCAAATTACCACTACTCTAGAATCTTGATTATTTGAAACAATTAGTCTATTTCGATTTAATGAAATATTAAGATGAAAGAAAGAGGTTTGAAGAATTCAGATTTTACTATAGATACAAACGCTTCTTCAACATTTTAACAACAAAGTATAGTGTAAAAGACAAAAAAATTAAGAACTATTTTTAGAATATGAAATACATCTAATCGTCATGCCATGTTAAGGAAATATAAAATACAATTTTGAGAGGATTGAAGGAAACTAAGCAACTTTCATAAAACCTTACCTTTCTTTTTATCTTAGTCAAAAGCTCAGGATTACCCCGTAAGAAAAAGGCATGATGGAATTCTAGTTCATTTGAATCGCTATGTTTTCCAATGTTCATAACTTTTCTAAAACCATCTGTTTAAAAATAACATTCTTGAGCAATCAGTAACTTAGAAAATGAGAAAAAGACAAAAATATAAATAGACAGTAAAAAAACACAATTAATAAACTTCGGACAGTCACATATAGAAAGTTGCACAGTGTGTGTGTGTATATATATATAAAGAGAGAAAGTTTTTTTTTTTGCATTAAAAATCAGTTTTCCCATATTATTAAATAATGTACCCTACATTAAGAAAAACGTTCTCTGAAATTTGCCAGTGTATCGTTTAAAAAAAAATTTTTCCCCTTCAAAGCAGGCTTTTTTCTTTTTTTTTAAATGCACCCTTAAATGTTCATTTTTTCATTATTTTTAGTTTAAATTATAGAAAAAAGCTTCCAAATGATAAGGTGTGATCGGAAAAAAAATTATTAGGTTTATCTATGTAAAAAAATGTTTAATTAAACAATTTTTCAGTTTACTTTTTTTGAAAAAATATTTATACTCCATTATAAAAAAATCAGAATATTATAAATATATAAATTTATTACATTATAAATATATCAGAGATTGTATTTTTGCATGCCTTCAGTTATTTTTTCTAAACTATAAATTTTCCTTTTATTTTAAAAATGTGTGAGAACTACTTTGTGAAATATATACATAAAATAATATAAGAGGGTAATTTAGAAATTGTTGAGATTCGAATTCAGTTATTACATAATATTACGCAATTTGATAAATTTTTACGGTGTTAAGTGAATGAGTTTCAAACCTCAAAGTGCCGTTTTATGTCAGGAAACACCCTGCCATTTTTTTATTCCTAGGGAGAACTCTGTATCAATAATACCGATTTAGGAAAAACTGCAATTCAATTTAAATTTACCGAAAATAAAATTTAGATAAATAATATTAATCTGGATAAATTGGAATAATAAGTCACAACTTACACATATTTAACTGCCTTATAAAACTTGCACAAGTAGGATTATTTCCATGCTTGAAATATAGCGGCAGTAATTCTTTGCAAAATCGATCAGGATCATGAATAATGACACTCGATCCATTCTAAAATAAAAAGCAATAAATATTTAAGACTTACAATGAGTACTAAAAAATAAGCATTTTTACTCTAATTAATAATAATCATTTCAATGTCAAATTGTCAAGAGGGAAGTTATTCGCACCTAATTATTCTAATTTTCAAGTGCTTAGTTCTAGATGTTTCAAATTGAAATCCTGCACTAATTACATAACAAAAATTAATCCTAAATTGGAAAAGTTTTGTCGAACATAAAACATCATTGTGCTAGAAAAGTAACTTTACATGATTTTGTCAAAACTGAAGAAATTATTTTGGAAAATTAGGTAAAGTTCAAATTGAAATCCTGCACTAATTACATAACAAAAATTAATCCTAAATTGGAAAAGTTTTGTCGAACATAAAACATCATTGTGCTAGAAAAGTAACTTTACATGATTTTGTCAAAACTGAAGAAATAATATTGGAAAATTAGGTAAACATTGCTTAAAATTTTTTTTTTAAGTTTTAAAGCTAACTTTTCAAGCTATTTTTAACTACAAAATTCTTAGTAATATCTGTAATGAAAATCAGATCTCTTAATTATAAATTTTTACAGAAATGATACTTAAATACAAAAAAAAAAAAAAAAAAAAGAGATGATGACGAAAAATGATAATCATTTCTAATGATTGCCTATGCATTCTACAATGTGTATCAATAACATTTATACTTTTTTTTTTTTATCAAACATAAAGCGAGATAAAAAAAATTAGAATAATTAACATCTTGTCAATCAATCAATTAATTAATTCAGCAAACAAGTGTTTCTCATCTTTGATGTAATAGTTTCAGAATGATGACTAGTATGAAACTAACACTATTGACAAATTCCTAATTTTTATTGTTCCTATTAAATTTTATGTTCTTGTAATAGTTTAAAACAGGGTTGGCAAGTTTTTGACACATGACGGTTTTTACCGGCTTATACAATGGTTTTTACCGTCATGTCAAAAAACCCACTGTCAAAAACCCATAGTTTTGATAAAACTGTATTTTAATTTGAGTTTAACTGCTTATGATTTAAAATTAATTCATTTTTGGGTAATAAAATTAGAAAAAAAGTTGTTAAAAGATATTTAAGAACAGATTTTTGCATTTTCCCAACATGATTATATCAAATCATACTATTTGAAGTAAAATATTAGGATACTGAACCAAAATTTTCAACATTTCCAAGCATCATTTTGTTTGGCATATTACATTACAGAAGAATGTCAAGTCATTCCTGATTTAGAGTTTGTTAGTTAGTAGTTACAAGTTTTGAAAGTTTTGTTTAGCTAATTTCTAATATTTAAGAAATGCCAAATTTTAAATTCTTTTTTTAGTTCTTGAATTTATTAATAGTTCCAAGTATTTTTGTTTGTTTGTTTATTGCTAATAATTAAGAAGTACAAAATTTTGAATCCTTTGCAAATCAAGCTATAATGATAAAAGTTAAGTATCACTATTTTCAATAAGTACGTTACAATATTTCTGTATGAATGCATATCCTTCTATAAGAATATGTGTACATAGTTGCAAAATTAATAGCAATCATTTACAACATTCATTTATAAAGGCAATTAAGTGAAAATAATATATTGTCCGCTATATGCCAAAAATGAAAGAAAACAGTGGGTTTTTGACGGTTTTTACCACTGTCATGTCAAAAATCAGTTTTCAGGGGTCTGTCTAGGTTTTTCTGAGAGGTATCTATTTTGTGAAAATTTAGACATAATTTGTGAAAAATTAAAAATTATATTAAAAAATCAAAACAAAAATATGAATTTATCATGTCTTAAGGGATACAAAAATAAAATTTTAAGAAAAGTACTTTGTGAAACTACCGTTTTTCCTAAAGTTGAATTTGTGAAACTACCGTTTTTGCTAAAATTGAATTTGTGAAGGTACCGCTAAACGGTAGTAAATTCGGCCTGGACAGACCCCTGGTTTTTGACGGCAAAAACCCAACCCTGGTTCAAAATTGATAATATCAACATCAATTTAAGTCAATTCAATTTTAAATAAAACTATCATATTTATCATTTTTAAAATAAGGTATATATTATAAAGTGGAAACATTAAATTTAACTTTTATGCATCTGGTAACATATAGAGAAAAGATGGAAACAACATAATTGTTTACTTGCTTCTTAAGTTATTAAAAATTATGTTATCACTCTCATCACTTTATTTAGTAATTATTAGTACAACAACTTAAGATGAATATGTATAATACTGTTGCCGTAATTACGTTACATTTAAGGAATAATCTCATTTTAATAAATCTCATCTTTAAAAGACATTGTGTAGAGTTACTGTAGTTTACCACATTGTAGAATATAAATAACAAGGAAGCTCCGCCCCCTGCTCGCTAACCCCCGAGAATTGCTACGCAATCTTATGTGTTTCACGCCGTGAACCATGGCTCGCTGCGCTCGCTCGCCAATGAACACAATGTTCTAGCACAAAGACATAGTATTGTACTTATGTAGAAGAATTCTATCAATGTTCTTATTGGATTTTAAAAAAGTATATTAGCTATTTAGATTGTACATGGTGAAAAAATCAAAACATTAGCTAAATGAGAAACATATTAGCAAAATAAATTATCAAATATTGCAGTTACTCACCTAAATTCAACTAAATGTGTATAATGAATTAGTTAATGCTAGAAATTCGAAAGTTTTAGAAAAAAAATATTATTTAAAAATATAAACTTTAAACCCTAACTTTTCCTTGTGAGTTAATAACCCTCAAAAAGTTTTTCATTTTCAAGAACACAAAAATTTGTTTTATCACCAAATGAAATATTTTTTGGTGATCAGCATTATTGAAATCAATTTCTATATTAATTAACATTTGTGATAAAGTACATAACATTTTAGAACAAAATAAGGATGTGTTACATACAATAAATTAAAATGCATGGCTGTTAGCATTACCCGAGAAATACCACGTGGAGGTCGCCATGCTGCATTTCTAATCGGGGAGTTATGATTTTGGCAGTTCCCCTTGCCTACTGCCAATAGAAGTTTCAATTAAATTTTTTTCTGAAAAACATTTTTTTTCTGCAAAGCTCTAAGAAATTAACACTAAGCATTTAGAATTTCTTTGAAAACACAATTATAGATTTGGCATCTTGGAGCAATTACTGAAAGGCTGTCAAATGACTTAAGTCTTGACAGGCCAACATAAAGTTGTCCATGACTAAAAACTTGTTTAGTCAATACTAAACTGATTTTCTCAAAAGTCTGATCTTGTGACTTATTTATAGTTATGGAGGAGAAGGCCTGCCTAATTAATTCCTAATTGAGTTAAAATTAAATATTATCATGTTTTTAGGGCATGAATCTGAATTGAACAACCTGATAATGCTCACTCTGGTATAAAAGCGCAATATGTTGAGCCAGTTTAAATTAAATATTATCATGTTTTTAGGGCATGAATCTGAATTGAACATCTGGATAATGCTCACTCTGGTTATTGTTTCCGTTTTTAAAAGCGCTATATGTTGAGCCACCTCATGTGACATTTTTAGCAACAATCATTGGTCGATTTTCTAACGTTGCCATTCGGGGAGTTGTAATGAGGCTTTTTTTTTGGTGCCGTGTAAGAGAAATATATATATAGATTGCCAGTGCCATCAGCTGCTTCAGCATTCTGTACAGTCTTATCTTCAAAGGGAATAGGAGTTTCAGGTCAATTCTTTCAAGACATTGGGTCGGTCCCTTGACAGGGAGCTTTTAGAGCTCGCTTCAAACTGCTCTGATAATTTTTTTCGTAAACAAACTGAAATGTTTAATCGGTTTTTATCTAATAAAAATATTTTTCCCCTTTTTTATTATAAATAAAAAATTTTGTGTAGAATTAACCTTTTAAAAATTTTTTTTAATTTTAATACAAAATATTTTCCAATGCTGCATTGACAATGACTTTTTGTCAATTCTTATTAAAGTAAAAATTGACATAAAATATGCATTTAGATATTGAAAATTTGACTGGTGCAAGTAGAATGATCAAACCATATTCAGTACTAATATTCTTCAAGTTTGTAAAAATCTTGAATTGTATTTTAATATTTTTTCTTTAAGATTTCAACTCTTATACAGTAGTTTAATTTTCTGAAAGAAATAATTAAAATATTGTAAAATGGAATTATTAGGTATTAAATAAAAAATAATGAAATTTTGTAAAAATTATGTATCCGCAATGTACCTTTAAGTTTGCAAAAATCGTGACTGGTATTTCATTATTCTTTAAGATTTTAACTCTTTTAATGTAGTTTACTTTTCTGAAAGGAATATTTAAAATATTGAAGAAGAATTATTATTAAATAAAAAATAATGACATTTTGTGAAAATTATAAATTAAATCAGTAACGAAATCAACAGTTAAATGACTAATAATCGTTAATGGTTAAACGATAAATGTCTCAAATAGTGAAGAAATTTGGAACAGGCTCCAAAAGCTCCATGTTGTGGAACAGACAAATTGTCTTTCTCATAGTAGGGTGACCCGGAGTAATTCACGATCACTCTGTTTCTGGGGTAAATAATGATCACCTAAGTTTTATTAAAAAAAAATTTTTTTCCTCAAATTTAAGACATGGACAAGAATGCTTGTACACTTTACTAAAGTATAACTACATTTACTTAATAATAGTTATTTGTTTAATCTAACAAAATAAGTATCTTTTAAACTGCTTTCTGTATTTTCCATTTCAAAGATGGGTTTCAAAATGTGCACATTTCTGCAAAGATCCCCCTCCTTCTCTTAATAATAAA